GCGTCCGAGACACTTCCGAGACGCTTCCGAGACGCCTCCGAGACGCTTCCGAGACGCTTCCGAGACGCCTCCGAGACGCTTCCGAGACGCTTCCGAGACACTTCGGAGACGCTTCCGAGACCTTCGGAGCGGCCCTCACGCCTCTTGAGACGCCTCCCCCGAGGTGCCCGCCGACACGTCCACTGACACGTCCCATGACACCCACCGGACACGTCCACTGACACGTCCCATGACACCCACCGGACACGTCCAGACACGTCCACTTGACATCCACACGACACGTCCACACACGACACGTCCATCGGACACGTCCATCGGACGCGTCCACTCCTGACACGTGCACCGCGCGGGCCGCGGCAGGCGCAGCCAAAGCACAAGGGCAAGATCTCGCGCGTCCTCGCGGCAAAGTGCGCCCTCTCGGTCCGCGTCGATGCTATTAATTAACAGTTAATTAAAATTTAATTAATAACTAATTAGGTGCGCCCTCTCGATCCGCGTCGATGCTCTCGGCTAGAGCAGCACGGCCGCCCATTGCTTGCATTAATCAAGGTCATTACTCCGTTTGATTTAAGTACTAGGCGAGAGCAGCACGGCCACGATCGGCATCGACTCGCGGCTCAAGGTCCGAGACACTTCCGAGACGCTTCCGAGACACTTCCGAGACACCTCCGAGACACTTCCGAGACACCTCCGAGACGCTTCTGAGACACTTCCGAGACACCTCCGAGACACTTCCGAGACACCTCCGAGACGCTTCTGAGACACTTCCGAGAAGGAGAGGTATCGACTCGCGCCTCAAGGTATCTCCCCCATATCTCCCCTCATCTCCCCACATCTCCCCACATCTCCCCACATCTCCCCACATCTCCCCACATCTCCCTACATCTCCCTCCATCTCCCCACATCTCCCTACATCTCCCTACATCGCGCATCAAGGTCGACCTCGCCCCTTCCCCCGACCCCTTCCCCCGAGCCATTCCCCGGCCCTTCTTCCTGCAGGTCGAGGACCGGCTGCGGCAGCTCGAGGGCCGCGCGCCCGTCGAGGCGGCGGATGCGGCGCCGGCGGCGCGCCCGCAGCCGGCGGTGGTGATGGCGGCGGACACCGACAAGGGCCGCGGGTACTCTGTGGCGGCGGACTCTACGCTCGCGCCGAGCGGCAAGAAGAAGAAGGGCGCCAAGGACGAGGCCGACGACGACGCGGCGGCGGCCAAGAAGGCCAAGAAGGCCAAGAAGGCTGCAAAGGAGGGGGAGGGGGAGAAGAAGCGGAAGCGGGACGGGGAGGGCGGCAGCGGCGGCAAGGACGGCGAGAAGAAGAAAAGGAAGAAGGCAAAGGACAAGGACTAGCGAGGGGCGCGTGCATTCGCGCGCACCCCCCGTACCCCCCCCCCCTCCCCCCTCGCCACCCACCCCCTCATTAGGGCGGGGCAGCGCTAACCTCGCGCCAGTTTGCCCCTGCGGGTGCGGGGGGGGGGTAGAGAGGGGCGTGGCGTGCGGCACGACGCCGAGACAGACAGAGTGCACCGGCTCTTGCGAGGGCCCCGTACGGCATGCCATCTGGTTCAGCGCATTCTGGTCTCCGTCCACTTGCCCCCCCCCCCCTGTCGTCTCTTGTCGCGATGTGAACGTAATAAGGTGTGCCGCTCTCTTGATGTCACTATCCATGTGGGGCTGAAAGATAGTAAGAAACCCGAAGAGAAGGTGAGAGCGCCGCTGGCGCTGCCGCCACCATCGCCGCCGACGGCGTCGCCGTCGGCGACGCCGGCGGCGACGCGCCGCTGCCCGGGATACCCATCAAACTGAGCCGACAATGGCTCTATGGGAGCCCCAGGGTGGAGCCCACCCCCATACCCTCAGGCACTTGCCTGCGCCCTGGCCGCGCATGCCACGCACGCGTGCGCACGCCCGCGCACGCCGCGCACGCCGCGCGCACGCGCACGCGCACGCACGCACGCGCACGCCGCGCACGCGCGCGTGCACGTGCGCGCACGCGGCACTACGCGGCACTACGCAGCACTACGCGCCCGCCCGCGCACGTGCGCGCACGCCCGCGCACGTGCGCGCACGCCCGCGCACGCCCGCGCACGCCCGCGCACGTGCGCGCACACGCCCGCGCGCACGCCCGCGCACGCGTGCACGCTGCACTACGCGGCACTGCCCAGGTTCCCTCAAACCTGGTTTGTGGAGCTCCCACACATTACCTAGAGAGCACGGCATTCGGGGCCATGATCTCGGTTCCGCACTGGACTTTTTTTGTAGTGGAGAGAATTAAGGAATCTTTCTGCTCTGGCAGGCAGCTGCACCATTCCCCTTTACTTCAATCAGCTGTGTACACTCAAGTGCTGTTACTGTCTGAATAGCTGTCTAGACGCTCCGATTTTGCTGTCTGGACGCTGTCTGGACACTGTCTGGACGCTGTCTGGACGCTGTCTGGACGCTGTCTGGACATGGAAGATCGCATGAGGTGTGAATAGACCTGCAGACAGGAATCATACTCTGATACTCAACAACACGTCGGCCAGCTGTGAGCGATCAAAACTTGAGTTGCATTCTCTTGGTTGGATGGATGGACGTGGTATGACGCACCACGCTCCCGCGATATTTTTGCGAGCGCCCGCCCGCCGGCTGAATACAGTGGGTTGCGGGCATTAAGAAAACGTACCATTAAGAAACC